AGGGTAATAACTGCTTGATCCAAGGATAAATCTGACTGCCATTCTGGGGTCGAGAAGGAATTTTTTTCCTAGCTTGTTGCAAAATTGTGCTTCAAACTGGGTTTTTTTGCCTTCTTTTGGATCAACAGCAAAAAACAAATGTGAGGAAGGCTGAACTTGATGGACGCAAGTCTCTCTTCAGCTATGTAACTATGTAACTAACTATGTAACATTCTAATTCTTGTGTAGAATGTTTATTTTTTTTTTTTTAATGCATTAAAAATAAAATATAATGAAACACTGTGATCCTGTACTACTAGTTGTATGAAACTATCCATTCAATATGTAAGGTTAAATATATTTAAATATTTGTACATTTTAAAAGAAATATATATATATATATATATATATATATATATATATATATATATATATATATATATATATATATATATATATATATATATATATATAGTTAATACAATGTTAAACAAAAATCTGCACACCAGTCAAGCCATAAGACTTGCTTTTCCCACAGAAATCCCAAATCTGCAGTGATGTTACAACCGCAAAGGATTCTGGGTGGGCATATGCAAATTAGTTTAACAAAGAATCACATTTTTGCCTCATTCCATTTTAAACATGGATTCCTTTTAATTAGTGTTTGCAGTATACAACTGATGGAACACAACTTAGGATAAGATGCAAAACCAGTGAACCACTCATGGACAGCTGTTTCGTTGTTAATGCAACTCTTCAGCATGAGGTTGGTTACTGGTTTGCTTAGTAAGGCTTGGTAGTGCTTGGGAAGCAAAATTCAATAAGGTTATGGTGGGGAAAAATTGTGATTGAAAACCCCTTCCACCTGAAGTATGTGGATAGTTAATACAATGCTAAACAAAAATCTGCACACCAGTCAAGCCATAAGACTTGCTTTTCCCACAGAAATCCCAAACATCACTGCTGATTTGGGATTTCTGTGGGAAAAGCAAGTCTTATGGCTTGACTGGTGTGCAGATTTTTGTTTAGCATTGTATTAACTATCCACATACTTCAGATGGAAGGGGTTTTCAATCACAATTTTTCCCCACCATAACCTATTTAGATTTTGCTTCCCAAGCACTACCAAGCCTCAATTAGCAAACCAGTAACCAACCTCATGCTGAAGAGTTGCATTAACAACGAAACAGCTGTCCATGAGTGGTTCACTGGTTTTGTATCTTATCCTAAATTGTGTTCCAAGCAGTTGTATACTGCAAACACAAATTAAAAGGAATCCATGTTTAAAATGGAATGAGGCAAAAATGTGATTTTTTGTTAAACTAATTTGCATATGCCCACCCAGAATCCTTTGCGGTTGTAACATCACTGCTGATTTGGGATTTCTGTGGGAAAAGCAAGTCTTATGGCTTGACTGGTGTGCAGATTTTTGTTTAGCATTGTATTAACTATATATATATTCTCTTCTGAAGAGGATGATTTGATGCACACTCAAGGAGTTGTTGTGGTTGAAGGAGGCATTAATGGTGTTAGCCTCCTTTGGAAGTAGTGGAGATGGTAGCGGATACCTTTCAATGGGCCAGTAGCAAACAGAGGGCTGACTTCAAGTAAAATCTGGCCTAAAGAATTTCCTTTTCTAAAGCTGCTACAAGGTATCGCAAGAGCGTGAGTATATATCGTCTGACACTGCTGTTCAGCAAGAAATCAAGAAAAGATTTTGTTTCCAATAGGCCATAGTAATGGGATTGTACCGTTAATATAAAATATCCTTCATAAATGATTGTTTAGCTGCTCAGTTGTTATGGATTAAAATACCTATTGGTTTGAGGAGCTGCATTGTATGTATAGAATAAGAGGTTAAAATCAGAGGTCAGAGCATTAACAGCTGTTAGCCAATTAATCCTTGCTGAACTCTTTATCATTTATTACCTATGGAAAGATATGGTGCACTAGAAAATTTGGCAGAAGTACAGCTGGGTAAAAGAGTCCATGGAAAGGTTTATTGATTTACAGAGTGAATACATTTGTCCTTGTTTCTATCCTGTGGATTTGTACATATAGCTGCAGAAGTGATTTAAGAGGCGAGGAATTTCTTTGTTAAATTCTAGAGCTAAATTCCAAAGACCATATATTATAACAAAGGAGGAATCATTTTCTGAATTCCCCTAAAAGGACTATTAGGAATAAAGTGACTAAGGGCTAATGCAAGGAAGAATAAGTTTGTAAAGCCTATTAGGAGGAATGAAGACGGGGAAAGGAAAAGGAGAGACAAATGTATCTTAAGGCTCATACAAATCTTCAATCCTATTTTATTAAATTTGTTTTTTACGTTGTGTATTATATAGGTTTTAATATGGGTGCAAAGAAGGCTAAAGCACAGGTTATGGACAAAAGTAAGCCAATTAACATCCTTTGTTCCCCTAAAAGTCAAATAGATTATCATTGTTAGATCAAAGTGACTTTAAATAGTTCCACACATTTTAAACATTCAGGTGGAAGTGATCAGTCACAACAACACATTGCCCATGGCGAATTCTCTGAAATTATGTGAAACTTTATATATTTAAATTAAAGGGATTTTGAAAAGAGCACTTTGGAACTGAAAATTACGCAGAATTTAGAATCCATAAATTTAAAACTAACAAAAATGAGTTACAAAACAAGATAAAAAAATTTGGAAAGTAAAATTACAGGTTTAAGGATTGTTTAAGGTGGAAAAACCATATGAGTTAGAGGACTTTCAGAGTCCGTAAAAAAACAAAACGCCTTGGCAGATCCATAAGAGATGTGTTATCACCCTTTGGGTAGGTTACGTTGATTTACGGAAGCCAAAAAAAAAAATCTAGATAACTCCATTCTTAGAGACACAATTGTCAGGTTCTCCAATTCATGTATTAAGGATACCATCATACAGGAGGCAAGAAAGAAATCCCCCACACGAAGGAGGATATAAAGATATCCAGTTGTTGCTACAAAGCAAGCGAAATGAAGTTTGTGACCTGGCTTTTCATAAAGTTGTGGTTTCCCTACTTCTTTAATTGTGGCATATAAGGAGATTGCATATTATTTCAAGTACACGGTTGAAGCACATAATAAGTTGACTTCATTGGGGATGACTTAAATGACAAAATTATAAAAAAAAGTCATTTGGGAAAAAAAGTGAAACATTTTGTAGATAAAATCAAATCAAGAATACAAATAAAATATACGTGCAGTCCGCTAGACCTACGTGACGTGTTGTCCATTTTCTGACTTACTGGGTTGTCCCTATTTAAGGGGATGTGCTCTCTTCTATAACAAATGTCTTGCTTGCTTGTCTGGGAGCAAGTTTGGACGTGCTCACTTTCTGGAGGGGACTAGAATCTCCTTTGTTTTCCATGTTGCTGCCACTTCCGAAATTCGTGTGTGTGTGTGTGTGTGTATGTGTATGTATATGTGTGTGTGTGTGTGTGTGTGTGTGTGTGTATGTATATATATATATATATATATATATATATATATATATATATATATATGATATATATATCTTATATATAACATCATACTAAGTGTATTTTTTATGTATACAGATATTAATATAAAAATACACGTGTATACTATATATATATAATAACTATGTATAGTATATA